CTGTGCCCCTGCCCTATTGCAGCCCCCACTGCACCAACCGCCTTGCTACCCCACCGCACCCCTACCCCGTAGTGCCCTATAGCACTGCACTGCTCCTCCCTGCCGGTGTCCCTGCCTCGCCGCATCGCCCTGCCAGACCCTGGCCAGTCCCCAGCTTGGCACTTCCCCTTCCCCAAGCCTGCCACAGGGGTGGCTGTGGGGACAGGCAGGCCCAGGGGACATCCCTGTGCCCCTTGGCCTGGGCTATGGGGCACGCACTGCTGCTGTGGGGCAGGCACCTCTCACACCTTGGCTCTGTCCCTGCCAGGGTACCTGCTCTTCCGGGACTTTGCCTTCAACCAAGCAGAGGAGGCCAAACCTCTGATGGAGTTTTATGAGGAGGTGAGATGGGGGGACCCATCTGGATGGACCCCTGTGGTCATTAGGAGGGTTAGGGATGGGATTTGGTACCTACAGGACCCACAGACATGGTACCAAAAGCATGCAGAGTACCCAAGGGGCTGGGAGGTGATGCCCTGGGTACCCAGGGGACATGATAACCATCGGGTGCCCGTGAGACGTGGTACCCAGAGGGGCTGGGGCCGTGGTTCCTAGTGTACCAGGTCCCAGGGGCTGGCTGCGCCTGCCTGGTGTGGGGTGAGGGCTGTGCCCCATGGCGGCGCAGGCCTGGGAGTGGTATGACCCTTGTGCCACGGGAGCTGTGCCCTTGCCAGATCAAGAAGTACGAGAAGCTGGATTCGGAGGAGGAGCGAACCGCACGGAGCCGCCACATCTTTGACCATTACATCATGAAGGAGCTGCTGGCCTGCTCCCACGTGAGTGCCGTGCTGTGCAGGTGCTGTGCCGGCACTGCAGTGGGGTGAGGCACCCCAGAGCGGGTGGGAGGGATGTACCTAGTGTGCCCAGGGGGCCTGGTACCCTGTGTCTTCAGAGGGAGCTCCAAAACCACCACTGACTCTGGTCTGGGAGCCACAGACCCAGCCCTATGGATGAGGGGTCTTCTGTGAGTTCCCCCGCTGGTACAGGCCTGCCTGGCTCCTGTGGGGCTGCCTTGCCCCTGTGCCCCCATCCCGTCTGCCCAGGGTGACACGGTCCTGTCTTGCCTCACAGCCCTTCTCCAAGAGTGCCACGGAGCATGTCCAGAGCCGCCTGAGCAAGAAGCAGGTGCCCCCAGACCTCTTCCAGGTTAGCATCACCCGGCACAGAGAGGGGGTCCCTGCCACCTCTGGTACTCGGAGGGTTAATCCTTACAGGGGTCTGGTGGTTACAGGTGCCCCTGGAGGTGGGAAGGGGGGTGTCCCAGAAGTTATGGGGACCCCAAGGGATGATGAGGGGATCCTCGGGAAGTTGGGAGTGAGGGGAATTGCTGGTGGTCCCCATGGGCTGGTAGTCAGGAGACTGGGGGCTGGAGGTAGCCACTCAGAGGGTGGAGATTGGGACCCTGGACATAGAGGTGACCCGGGGTGACAGCGGGGTCCTCAGGGGTGGTGATGTTGGGGTCCCCAGAGACACAAGTGACTCTGGGTGGCAGAAGCATCTCCAGGGGACTGGCAGTGGCAGAGGATCCCCTGAAGGATGACAGTGGGGATATGTGAAATCCCAGGGGTGGAGACCTCAGTTAGTGATGGGACCTGAGGGGTACGGGTGGCCTGGGTGGCACTGGGGACCCAGTGCTGAGCCCTGTCTCCCTCCAGCCCTACATTGAGGAGATCTGCCAGAACCTGCGTGGGGGCATCTTCCAGAAATTCATTGAGAGGTGAGATGGGGGAAAATCCCACGAGGATCAGGGTGAAATCCCGCTGGGGACCAGGGTCTCCTGGCCCAGAGAGGGGCCAGGGGTCCCTTCATAGGAGCTCCAGGAGTGTCTGTCCCCAGATCAGGGACTCAGGGGGGCTCTTCTCATCCCCAGGTCTGGCCCGGGGTCTCTCTGTTCCCAGACGGGGGTCCTGGGGGGTGCCGCCTGTCTCCAGACAAGTCCAAGGGGTCCTTCTTCCCTGAGACGGGTCCTGGGAGGGGTCTCTCCAGGGGCTCCACTCTTGCCCTCTCTGTGCTTCGTTGCAGTGACAAGTTCACGCGGTTCTGCCAGTGGAAGAACGTGGAGCTGAACATCCATGTGAGCAGGGAACCTTGCGCCTCGGGGCACCTCTGGGCACTTCCCGAGAGGGGGATGTGGGCACAGTGAGAAGGCTGCTGCCACGGGGCTCACCAGGGGCTGACATGGGCACCCCCTCGCACACTCCCAGGGCTTTTGCTCGCTCACAGGTGGCTCTCCCATACCTGCCCACGCTCACGGGGACATGTGGAGCAGCCACCGTGTTCCTCACCCAGGGAAACTGAGGCGGGAGCAGGACCCCCCACCACCACGGACACACACAGCTCTTGGGGCAGGGGCACTCACGTGCCCAAGCTCACCCCCACCCCCTTCTCGCCCTCTCCAGCTCACCATGAACGACTTCAGCGTTCACCGAATCATCGGCCGCGGTGGTTTCGGGGAGGTCTACGGCTGCCGGAAGGCGGATACGGGCAAAATGTAAGGGGGGATACTGTCTTGTGGGGGACTGGAGGGATCTGCCTGTGATGGGGGGAGCGCTGGGGCTGTGGTGGTGGTCCCGAGGGCATCTGCAGCAGTGTTGCCGTGACGACAGATGTTAGGGGGTTGCGGAAGGATTGCCATGGCTACGGGTCTCTGGGGGATACGGGGACGTCACGGCTGTGGGTGGTAGCTGGATGTAGTAATGTGGCCGT